CATAATACTCTTATACTTTAATGTATCCCTTTATTTAAATGTATATCACTATAGTTCTGCTGCTTTATTGTGTGTAAGAGCAACTGTAAACACAACATCCTCCCTGATTTATCATAGGGATTTATACAAGTATTTCAGATTCTCTTTCTGATTTAATGAGGGTCCTTGAAGGCAGCAATTTCTGCGTGATGACGACAGCAGGACGTTGTAGTAAAGATGGCGGCAGTGCGTGCAGAGCTGATGTACAGAGACGGACAGAGAGAGAAACTCAGCGTTAAAGTAGAAAATAATCTGAATTCTCTGATTAACGGGATTCAAGAACTGAACGTGAACGTGTCACGAATCCTCAGCGAGCTCGTGGAGCGGGAAAAAGTCGGCGGAGTCTGCGCAGAAGGTGAGCTCTGCTGCTAACAGCTAACATGTTGTTTAGGGTTAGCTCCTCCCCCCTCAGCGGGGGTCTGACCACCACTGACGTCATGCAGGGGGTGGGGCACCAGTTGTGATGAATCATGATTTAAAACGTTGTTTAATGACCTATCTGTAACTTACCTGTTTTACCTGTTACAGGTGAGGAGGAAGACGACAGTGATGAAGACGATGAACCAGAGGAGCCTCCAAAGTCTGAAGTACAACCTCCAGCCAAACGATGCAAGACCTGAGGACACGATAACACCTGAGGACACGATAACACCTGAGGACACGATAACACCTGAGGACACGATAACACCTGAGGACACGATAACACCTGAGGACACGATAACACCTGAGGACACGATAACACCTGAGGACACCTGAGGACACGATAACACCTGAGGACACCTGAGGACACGATGAACACCTGAGGACACCTGAACACCTGATACACCTGAGGACACGATAACACCTGAGGACACAATAACACCTGAGGACACCTGAGGACACATAACACCTGAGGACACGATAACACAATGAGGACACCTGAGGACACACACACCTGAGGACACGATAACACCTGAGGACACCTGAGGACACGATAACACCTGAGGACACATAACACCTGAGGAACCTGAGGACACATAACACCTGAGCACACCTGAGGACACGATAACACCTGAGGACACCTGAGGACACAATAACACCTGAGGACACCTGAGGAACAATAGCAACCTGAGGACACGATAACACCTGAGCACGATCACTGAGGACCCTGAGCACACCTGAGGACACGATAACACCTGAGCATACCTGAGCACACCTGAGGACACGATAACACCTGAGCACACCTGAGGACACGATAACACCTGAGCTCACCTGAGCACACCATCCTCTTCCTGTGTCAGCAGCTGTTTGTCAGTTGTGTCTTAAGTTCTGGTGTGGCAACTTAGTTTGTACCGCAAGTTGTGTTGTTGTTGTTTTTGGTTACCATGGAGACGTAATGTTCAAAAACTAACCAGGAGAAGAATTATGGCGAACGCACACTGCTGACACCAAACAGCTCCTCCTCCATCTCCAAGTTATCACACCTTTTATCACCATGACAACCAGGTTTTACAGACGACGTCACACCTATCAGGAGCTCAGTGTGTCTCACCTGAAGACTCTGTCTCATAATGTGTCTTCATATAGTCATGTTACCCTGGTGCCGTATCGACATCATCACCTTTGTTTTCTTACAGCAGACAGGCTGGTGTGTGTGTGTGTGTGTGTGTGTGTGTGTGTGTGTGTGTGTGTGTGTGTGTGTGTGTGTGTGTGTGTGTGTGTGTGTGTGTGTGTGTGTGTGTGTGTGTGTGTGTGTGTGTGTGTGTGTGTGTGTGTGTGTGTGTGTGTGTGTGTGTGTGTGTGCTTTCCTCTCTCTTTTTTCCTCCCTAACTCTTCTCTCCTCCTCCTTGCACCCTTGTCTTCCTCCTCCTTTCCTCCTCCTTGCTCCCTCCTCTCCTGTAACAGTTTCATGTCAGTTGGATCACGTTTAAAGACATTAACATGTTTATATAAGTTATTTATTGATCTTTTAAAAGGTTACCATGGTAACCAGTGTTTGTCATTGACTCATCTTATAAACAGTTTGTTCAGTGCTTCAGATTCAACAGTTTACACACACACACACACACACACACACACACACACACACACACACACACACACACACACACACACACACACACACACACACACACACACACACACACACACACACACACACACACACACACACACACACACACACACACACACACACACACACACACACACACACACACACACACACACACACGGCGCTTCCAGCCAATCACAGTACAGGATTCTCTGTGGTGAGAATGATTGACAGTCTTTATAAAGTAACTTGATCCTGACAGTCGACACTCAGGGCGGACAGTAGACACCCCTGACAGACACAGACGAGGGTTTACACAACACGATGTTTGTTTCAAAGGCACACAGGAAGTGACATCACAAACATCAACACAAACAGGTCAGTTTGTTTCAGGCTCCTCCAGGCGTAGCCCCGCCCCTTTACATGTTAATACGCAGTGAGTCTCTCTGATTGGTCATCGTCTATACGTGTCGATGACGTCTTCATTTGTACATGGCGATGAGCGGTGAGCTTCTCTGACCAGTCTTTCTTTCTACGTGTCGATGAGCGGCGGCCCTCTCTGATTGGCTGGTTTCCTGGCGGCGTGGCGACAGCAAAGCAGCGCGAGGCAGACAGGAAGTACGCAGTAACCGACGGCACGAGGGTCGGCCCTCGTGCAGGAGAACAGGAAGAGGAAGAGCTGCAGGTACGGCAGCAGAAAGACCGACGCCCACATCCAGACAGGAAGTGGAGGCAGGCGAGCGCTGATGCTCTGTGGCCAGCTGATGGCGAGGGGCGGAGCCGATGGGCCAGACCGACCTCTCTGCACGTGCTCCAAACTGAAAGTATGAACCTCAAAGATATAGTACACCGCCATGACGCTGAGCAGCAGGTAGGCGGCCACGCCCACCCATCCCATCCGCTGACGGAAGTTCATCATCCTCCATACTGTGAAGGAAAACATCAAATATTATTTATTAAACAACAACATCCTCCATACTGTGAAGGAAAACATCAACAAATATTATTATTATTTATTAAACAACAACATCCTCCATACTGTGAAGGAAAACATCAACAAATATTATTATTATTATTATTTAATAAACAACAACATCCTCCATACTGTGAAGGAAAACATCAACAAATATTATTATTTAATAAACAACAAATATTATTATTTAATAAACAACAACATCCTCCATACTGTGAAGGAAAACATCAACAAATATTATTATTTAATAAACAACAACATCCTCCATACTGTGAAGGAAAACATCAACAAATATTATTATTATTATTTAATAAACAACAACATCCTCCATACTGTGAAGGAAAACATCAACAAATATTATTATTTAATAAACAACAACATCCTCCATACTGTGAAGGAAAACATCAACAAATATTATTATTATTATTTATTAAACAACAACATCCTCCATACTGTGAAGGAAAACATCAACAAATATTATTATTTATTAAACAACAACATCCTCCATACTGTGAAGGAAAACATCAACAAATATTATTATTATTATTATTTATTAAACAACAACATCCTCCATACTGTGAAGGAAAACATCAACAAATATTATTATTATTATTTATTAAACAACAACATCCTCCATACTGTGAAGGAAAACATCAACAAATATTATTATTTATTAAACAACAACATCCTCCATACTGTAAAGGAAAACATCAACAAATATTATTATTATTATTATTTATTAAACAACAACATCCTCCATACTGTGAAGGAAAACATCAACAAATATTATTATTATTA